GTCAAACCAAGAAGATTAAAACAGAAGTTCAGAGTTTTCTGATAAGAGTCAGCTTTGCAAGAACAACCAACACTAGTCGATAGATTTCTACACACGAACTCAAAAAGTTCCATCTGATTTTCATGAAAAAAAAGTGTGCAAACAATAAACACAACATCTTGATTTCTATTCCGAAAACGAAACCACACTATAATATCTATTCTCCAGGTGCTGACACGCCTTGCTTTAGCCTTTCCTTCTTCATCTTCTTCTTCGAGACGGGCTTCTTTTTCTTTGGTGGTATGGTCTTTTGGGCATAAGTATAGAGCACATAATTCCCGACCAGGAATAAAAACAGTAGCCCACCAACTACAAGCAATACAATCAATCCCGGGTTGAACCCTTTGGCCTCAAAATCTCGCCCCACATTTTTCTGCACATGAAAAGCAACGTTAATTTGTTTTACACGTGAGTCATTACTCATTATACATCAATGTTGATTGCAATAAGCGAATTATGCGACCTTAGATCACAAATTTGATATTGACTGTGTATATACATTTAAATAAACAAATGAAAGATTCAAAGAAGTAATGTTCCGATAAGAACCCTACTTTTACGGATACCAACGAACAGCGATCTTCAAACGACCCACATAACATGCATCTATTACTCTTCTCATTAGGCTACTTACTAAAATCAACTGTCCAAAAGTTTATCAACACATAATTTGGTAAGTTAGTGGCAAAGTAGATTTAACTCAAGAGATAGTCCAATTGTCCCAAATGGCAAATCAACCATTTGAAGTTCAAGGCCGAAAGTGTGCTGTGTACATAGACATTCATAACCTGCGAACACATTCGTGCAGAAATTTAACGAAGAACACCGAATGTTTTAGGTGTAGCAGCTCTTTAGCATCCCCTCAATTTTTTCAAGGATTATCAGCCCTAGAATTTCAATTGAATTTCCTCTAGCATCATTCACCGATTCAATGTGCACACAACATCAATTCAATTCACCTATGTGTATCACTGTCTGTTCAATTTCTTCAGACAACACAAATTTTGTGTGTGTGTGTGTGCATGCACATTGGAACTAAATTAGGGAAAACAAACAAGAACTACATGAAAGACCCAAAAAAAAAAGAAAGAAATATCATGTCAACAAACAAGAAATTCAACCCACATCACGAAACGGAATAAGAATACACAAATTTAACCAGCTAAACTAGAGAAAACTGCAGATCTACCAAAATCCGGTGAGAATGAAGTGGCATCTACGAGAAAATTAAGGGAAAAAAGAAAAGAAAAAGAAAAACGTACCATTCGATCAAATGACGGAGGTGCTTGATCTTCAAAGTCTCCTTCGAAATCCATTACCGTTCCTTTCTCTCGGTCTACCAATGGAAAGGCCAAAAAGAAGAACAAACAAACAAACGAACTACAAGAAGAGAAAAATCGAAATATGGATAAAGATCGTATGTTGGTTGCAAAAGCAATAGATCAACGGCCTAATTTATGCATTTGGCTGTCCATCGGATTTTTTTAATGAAATAAAACCCTTGCCTAAACCTCAAAGGACAAGTCTTGAAAAATTGAATCATATGTGCAATTCTGTATAGTTTAATTCAACTAAAGTGAAAAACCTTTTTTCTTTTGTTTTTAATTTGCTTTTAGTTCAATTCAATTTTTTTGTGTATTGCAATGCTGTTCAATTATTATTATTATTATTATTATTTGTTTTTATTGATTCTAAATGAAACAAATATAAATATATTAAAAAATAAAAATTATTTCGAATCGTACAATTTAGTGCAGTTCAATACAATTATTTTAATGTTTTTTTTGTGGTTGATTTAAAATAATGCACAATTTCAATGGGTCAATCTTGTTAAAAATCAATTTATCAATATAGAGCTATTTAAAAAATATAAATTAATGTGTAGTATAATAAAAAAATCAATATACATAAAGTGTGAGAAAATTTAC